GTCCCTGTTAAAACTGATTAAGGCTGGTTTTAATTAGCACTAGAGTGGTAAGCAGAGTCCTAACAGCATTTATGACGTAGCAAAAATAAATAATTGGGGTCATAAGCAAAGTCTACAGGTGACAGAATCAAAGTCAGAAGAAACAGAACATTTCCATTTTCTTCCGACTACACTTATATGACTCTGTCACTTATGATCTGGTGAAAACCAGATTTTCAAAGTTGGAAGCAGAAGTGGGAGAAAAACTCAGTGAAAACGATGGCAAAATTGATGGGATGTAGCCTCTGAACAAACTCTCTTGACTGCCCCCTTCCCCTGGCCTCCCTGAGTCAAGAGTGCTTACTCAGCAGTTGGGCAAAGAGTTGTATTATGGTAGTAAAGAATAAACTGCTATCATTTTCAGATCCTGATACATTAACAAAGATGACACTAAGGTCTCCCTCCACATCCTTAAGTCTCCCACCAAACAAACTCAGCTCATCCTCTGGGCATTGCACATACTGTGGGCATGGCTCTAGTGGCCCAATGGGTTCACAAGAAGGACTGGTCTGTTCATTTTGTGGAAATGGAGTTAGAGAACAAGTCTCTTCTCCCACAGAAGAAGTAGAAGAGGGAGAATCAAAACTATCCAGAGGTATATTTAATACAATTATGATCAAAGACATTTGGAACTGCATAAACTTTTAAAGCCATGATGCACTGCTAAATAACAAAGAATGTTATGAGCTGACATCACAAGCTCAGCCTTCCATATCTGTCAGGCTGCTGCTATTGGAAGCTTGAATTTATGGCCAGCCACATAATTAATTTTTATACAAATTAGTAATGGGACTGAGGTATGGTAATTATAAAAGGCTCCTGCTATGTGGACATCCAATTTTGATTCATTAAGTAACAGACCTTTTCAGCTTGTAAGTTTTGTTTTACTATTTCAGACCACGTGATGGTACCCCATATTTACATTTGTACATATTGTATATAGTTCTCTCGAATTTCTCACTTGCTTATACTGTACATAGTTTTTCTTAATTTTAATTAATTTATTAATTGATTTATTTTTTTTAAATTTATTTTAGTGTCCCCACTTAGTGGTTATACACCGCTATTACAGTTTTGACACTTTAATAAAGGCATCATCATCATCATCATCATCATCATCATCATCAGAGAACTGTTTCTTTCAAATATCATCTTATTGACACGTGGCTGCACATGTATGCTTAATTTATGAAAAGACAAAAGACAAATTTCCTGGACAACATCACATAGTCTGAATATTGGAAAAACAAAACATACAAGCTAAAAAGGTCTATTACATGATTATGTTTAGGGTTATAAGTTTTTGGTTCAGGTCTTGGTCATTAAAAATAAATTAATGTATAACAGGTGTTAAAGCAACATAGCTACTGAGAAAGACACATATTCTGAAAGTGAGTGCAGGACATAGGGAAAAAAATTGCACTCCCAGATGGACTAGAACCAACAGCATGCATGCACTCCTAATTACTGGCAATATATTAGAAATATTAATATTAAATTATTATTATTGTATTGTTTCACTGTCTCAATCCCCTACAGTACTCTGTGATGCGAGGAACAACGCATTAAAAGAAAGGGAACTTTGGTCATGCATTGTGATTCGTAGATCAATTCACCTTGTTAAGGTCCTTTCAAAACCTTGTGTCATCACTGTCCAGCAATTCTTAACCATGTTAAAGATGTAAGTATAATAGACCACTTCAAAGTTCCCCCGGGCCTCTGTATCAAAACAAGGTTGAGTGCTCATCCTCTGATATGGAAATGATTTTTCATTCTCAAGCAAATAAGAAACTCATTTTCACAAGAAAGGTTGTGCACTTGACCTCATTTTTAACGTGAGGGTTTTTCAAACTCAGAAGTGGCCTACAGTTATATAGCTGGAAATTTTTTCCCAACAGCGTGCACTCTCTTTTGTTACTTCAAGGTCACATGACATTTAACAATGAAACTGTTTCCTGCTAATATCTCTGAGTGGGCAACATTGCAAAATCTACNGTTGAGTGCTCATCCTCTGATATGGAAATGATTTTTCATTCTCAAGCAAATAAGAAACTCATTTTCACAAGAAAGGTTGTGCACTTGACCTCATTTTTAACGTGAGGGTTTTTCAAACTCAGAAGTGGCCTACAGTTATATAGCTGGAAATTTTTTCCCAACAGCGTGCACTCTCTTTTGTTACTTCAAGGTCACATGACATTTAACAATGAAACTGTTTCCTGCTAATATCTCTGAGTGGGCAACATTGCAAAATCTACGACATTAAGAGGGTTACAGTTAACAGTTCGGCTCTGCCTCAGGAAACACTGAGATTTTCAGAAAACAAAATTATTTGTTTACCTCAGGACCAGTCATTAAGTGTTTATTATTTCCCTTCTGACAGTACAACAATAATTATTGCTAGTTGTGTGTGACTCACAGAGGAGTGTGTAAAAAATTGTACTCTGATGCATAAAGAGTTTTGAAAAATTATCCAGCTGTTGTGCATTATTTTATGGCATTTACTAAACATGATTTTTTTATTTAAATATATTTTTTATACAGTGTATTGAAATAGTAATTTGTTTCATTTTATTGCTATCCACCTTTCTTCCAGATTCTCCACAAAAGTAAATGAGAGTAACATACCTCAATCTACAATTTTTTTTTTTGTAATAGCAATTATAAATTCTTAGAGAATCCATACAGAGATTATAATACAATTAAATTATGGTATTTTTTAATTTCAAAAATAACTAATACAAAATATGATAAGAGTTTTGTATCAGATTTTCAGATGCTTATCGCTCATGTATAAAAGTATCTACATTGGTCACTTAATAAATTCATGTTTAATTAGTTTCTGGATACAAATTGAATTAGTAATGAAATTTATTGTTTGAAAGACCCCCAAAGAAATCAATTTTTCTGTTCCCTTGAATATTAAAGTTTCCTGAGGCAGGTAATGTTCCCTGTGATAGTGGCAAAATAAATAAATAAATTAATTAATAAATGTCCCTTAGATTTTTAGAATTGCTAGCCAAAATGGAAGGAAAGACAAGAAATGCCCATCTTGACAAAGTGCTGTCAGTACTCAACGTGATGATGCATACATACAGAGACAGGCATGAAGTAGAACATTGGTATGTACATTGTATAACGATCTAGTGCAGTCAATGGCCAGAGAGTAATATTATTGCACTTGGATGCCCGGTTCTATCAGTATAAGCTTTTGATTTTCATTAAAATACAAGTGTAAAATTTTCTTTAAACATGATGTATTTTGATTAGTCCCTCCTTCAAAGTAGTTAGAGTCAAAGGCTAATTAGTTATAATTTTTTGTACACTTTTATTAGGAGAACATCCAGATTTGCCATCACTGAGACTTCACTAAAAGGTAAATGAAATGAAAATGGTCTTGAAACTAAATGCGCTTTTATGCTGGTATTCGTATGTTGGGAAAATCCCGGACAACCGGGAATCTCACTGTTTCCCAATTGTCCATTTTGATTGTTGAAGTTTTTTTTTCAGTTTCTGTTGGGGCCATTTTAACTCCCAGGAGAAACTGAAGACAATGCTTATGCAAAATTTTGGGGTGACAAACAAAGAGCATTATATTATTTTGGTATGTTATGGCATTATCTGTAGTGGTTAATTTGCCTGTCAATCCTGGACCTCCCTGACAGTAATACCAACCATCTGGGATGTGTTGGGAAAACAGAAACACTCCTCTCTCCTGATTTGTCCCTGACCATGTCAGGTGACAAGAGATATCTGTGATTTTAAGTTTTCATTGGTTGGAAAAATGTGCGATTGTCAGGAAACAGAAAAAAACCCAGGTCATCTGGGATTTTCCTGACACTTCAGATCAGTTTGTCAATCCTGAATCAGGGGCTTGGGTCAAATCAACCTCAGTTTTTTGTGGCAAACATCAATCTTTTTTTTTTTTTTTTCAGGAGAAGGTTCAAAATCAGTTAAGTCAACATATGAATGCATTCAAGCGATTCCTACACCTCAAAGTACTTACAAGTATGAAAATGGTTGTAGTACTGAGAATGATGCACAAGACATTGCAGTGAATCAAGATAGCACCAATGATGCCAGGGTTTTGTTAAGCAATGACCTTGTGCGTTTTCAATTGCAAGAGTGTCTCCAAGAGTGTGTGGCAAGCAGGTTCATGTGTTTGGAGAATGATGATGACTTAACAAGCGCTCACATCACAGAGGACCTCTTTGAAAAGGGGGATGGCACCGCAGACCACACCCCGTGTTGTAAACCTGTACGTGTAGATCTAGTTGACACTGACATTGCAGAAGCCAACAATAATGAAGAGTATGCATTTATGTTCTGTCAGTAAAATAGCTATTTAACAGATGTGTTTATAATTCTTGATAATCTAGAGAGTGTAAAAAAGTAAGTGCATAAGAATATTATTTATACAACTTGTTTGTTCAAGTTTGAGGTCAATACACTGAGATAATTCTGTGTATTTCTGAGTTATTGCTGACCAAAGCAATTGATTTGACTTCCATCATACTAAATTTCAATAACAATAACATCATTATTGAAATTTATTTTCATGTCTTAGGCCTATTCTGATATTGTTTCCCATTTATTTAAAAAGTACATTTTTGGCAATTTCATAAACCAAAGAACAGGTCTTTAGAATGGCTACCATTTTAATGCCCTTAAAATAATTTTAAAATCTCAAGTTAAAGACAGTATTTCAGCTATTCAGATGGAGAAATTAATGGAATTGTCCTAAAGATCACAAACATTTAATTTTATAAACCAATGTTTTCACAGTGCATTTTGTGTTGTTAGTTTTCAGGGTTTCAAATGACATATTGAATGCTATGGGAGATGTAACATTAACTAGGAGAGATGCATGACACATTGTCAGTTCAGAATGCTTATTTATGTAAAACTGAAAAAAAGAAGAAATTATTTATGGTAACTACAAATAAAATGTAGGATACCAGAAAGCCAAAGAAAGTGAAAACTATAATTTCATTTTACCTTTTTTACGCTTTGTGTCTTACATTAAGAGCATGTACATATAAAATGACATACTTTTAATACAATGGGCAAAATATAAAATTCCAACAATGGTAGTATAATACCATGAATACATATTTTAAAAATTGCATTTGCAACAATAAAAATAAAATTATCAAATTGAATCATCTATTATTTGTGGTGCTTGTCCAGTTTTATTAGTCAATTCCAGCTGCCCTCCATACCCATGCGAAACAGCAGGGAATTTGTGCACCTTGTCAGTCAGTGAGTATGGCATTGTTGTCAACCCCAGGGTCAGCCTCGAGCTTATTAAACTGCATAGATGTGTGCTTTCCAAGCCAAAATCCAAACAGGATTTTGGAGGATATTGTGGGAAACACAAGCAGATTTAGTAATGCTTGTAAATAATGATTGTTCCTGAAAAGCCTCTTTAGGGATGAAACAGTGAAAGTATGTATGTATGTATTATTCTGGAAAAAATTGGCTCATCTGTCAAGGACGGGAAAAACTTGTAGAGGTTATTAAAGACATGTTTTCTTGATCTTATGCATACATTTCTTTATTGCCTATTAATTACCAGAATTAACATAACAAAATTATCAGAAGCTATATATCAATGTGAATCAACATTTTTCTTTGGTTATTTAAATCAAATTTCTGTCTATCAAGTATTTGAATATAATTTTGTGGTGATAATTCTGTAATACTACTATGATTTATTATTATATATTTAAGATTCTTGAGGTGGTGCCAAACATTGCGCATAAAGTTTTATTTATAATAATTATAATATGGATAGTGCTATTACAGTCATTACAACAATAAATCCAAAGACAGAAAGGAAGACATTCTAAATACACCTAATTGCAATAAGGTTGTCAAAGAAAAAAGCAAAAAGCAAAAAGCCAAATAGGAATTAATTAGCATGTAATTATCATTGCTTGCAACATTCACAACACAAACGCTTATAGCTGAATATTAATCACGTAATAATGGGAGAAATCATTTGCATCAGTTTCTTGCTGTCATTCTAATGCAATTCGAGGCTGATTCATCTAGCGGATTTCAGACCTGCTCTAATTACAAACGTAAATTGGATACACCTAATTGCAATAACGTTGTCATAGAAAAAAGCAAAAAGCAAAAAGCCAAATAGGAATAAATTAACCATGTGATTTACATTTGCGTATTTTAATTCAGTAGTTAACAATTATTTAAGAATTCATTCACAATAACAAGAGATAATTCTGTAATTCCGCGCTGTAAGATAGACAGGCGCCATAGTCATTTTAGAGCCAACATTCTCCATCAACATGTACAGACGTCGCACAACTGGAAAAAGAAAAAGGTAAATTGACGCAAGCAATGTTATGTCTTAGTTGTCGCACTTTCAGTCGCCAATCTATTATGTCCTGACAAATGAAGCTTGGTTTGTGGCTCAGGTGAGGAACTGGCGGAGGACCCCCTTACTCTCTCCGCGATGAAAAGTCCTGCCTACGTCCCTGATTTGCTGCTTCAAAATTGTGATCAGATGATGTTGTGCACTGCAAACTATACGCAGACTGGCTTTTCTATTTAGCACTAATCTAAAACACGCTTTGAGTTCCTGGAATTTACCCCAGGCTATATTTATTGAAAGAAAATGGAGCCATTATTTCTTTAGTAGTTATCCGATATACCTTTGTAATTCGAGCACCTTTGAAATTCAGTGGATGAATCAGCCTCGAATTGCATTAGAATGACACCAAGAAGCCGGCTGATGCAAATAATTTCTCTCATATTATGTGATTAATATTCAGCTATAAGCGTGTGTGTTGTGAATGTTACAAGCTATGATAATTACATGCTAATTAATTCCTATTTAACTTTTTGCTATTTGCTTTTTGCTTTTTTCTATGACAACCTTATTGCAATTAGGTGTAACTACTAAAGAAAAAATGGCTCCATTTTTTTCAATAGAGGAAAGTTATCACCAGGCCAAACACTTCATTCGGGAAAATGACATTGTCTTCCATTGCTGTCTTCAGCCCCATGCGTTTATCTTGCATGCTTTTGCGCAAATTTCACCAGAAAACTGCGAAGGGTATTTCAGAAACTCTGGCTATGAGTGACAATTCGACTGGCAGTAATAATTTTGAACCCTTTCGTTACACACATCGGTGTTTCATGTGCAGAATCTTACAACGGGGAATTACTGAATTATCTCTTGTTATTGTGAATGACTTCTTAAATAATTGTTAAATTGTTAAAATATGCAAATGTAAATCACATGGCTAATTAATTCCTATTTGGCTTTTTGCTTTTTGCTTTTTTCTATGACAAAATTATTGCAATTAGGTGTAAATCACACATTAAAACCCTTAAAGTAGCACTACTCTACACTGTGAGAGGAATGAAAACTGCTGCAGTGTCGATTGGGAACGAGGCATTCGCTCTCTTTTTCATCCCTAACACGAGGCATGCATTTGGCAGCTGAAGTATCCACGCCCCATAGAATTTTCAATCCAAGACAAAAAATGCTAATGTACGGGGGGCCAGGGACGGGGGCGCATGGGCACGACTGGAATAAACTGATGCATAAGTGATGGGGAAAGGGGGAGAGTATTAATGTGAACCCCAGGGGGGTACTCCGGATTTCAAGTGACGGAGATCTTCGAAGAATTTTTTTGGGTTTGAAATTTTTGATTCCAGGAATTTTTCGGGTAGGAAAATTTGGCAGGTATTTTTTAGGTGGCTTGATTTAAGTAGGAATTTTTTGGGGTCTTTAGAATCTGAAGATTCGTGATAGTGCCTGCGTATCCCAGCCACAGAGTTCTGCAAATGAAGTACAACCAAATAAAGAACAACGTTTTACATCATTTGATACTTTCTGGAAATTTTATTTATTTATGGATCAAAAATTTGGCCAGGGATTTTTTGGGGGTTAATTTTTGATCCAGGGATTTTGGGGGGTTTTGTTGGATGCCCTAGGGATTTTTTCGGGTTCCGATTTTTGCCCCCATTCTATCATTCCCGTCACTTGGAATCTGGAGTACCAACCCCCACCTCCCCCGCTTGGATGTGAACCCATTTTCAAACAAAGGGGTCATTATTCTTAAGCCTCAATGTCAGTGACAGAGTGAACTCCGTTAATAAGGACACTGCTTCATTAAGGCAGTACTGAGGGCACCATGGATAGTCCATTACGGAGCGGGTTTTGCTTTTTTGGCCAAAAATACATGGAACAAAATTCGGAAACAAAATGCCAAACATAGATTCAACAAACTAGTTTATGGTAGCTCCCATAAGACATTTCTCAATCTACTCATTACTAACCTCGGGACAGCTCTTTTTTCGAAGACAGTAGAATAGTGCGTTCCAAATTGGAAAGCAATAAAAAAACAGGGAATGGAATCTCCTCTTGTCGTCATCCAAGTTCGCTTGCAACCTTTTCCACAAGACGACCGCGTTGTTTCTTGATTCCGTGGGAGCTGGGAACAAACTCACCCTCATGATTTTTGGCAATTTTGGCGGGAACTACGCGGGAGCTTTCTCCCCAGTCATGCCCAGATAAAAAAATACAGTACAGTAAATTTTATTTTTTAAAAAATAACTTACGGAAAAGAGGAAAATGATAAAAGTGGAACATCAAACAAATGGCAGAAAAATAAACTAGCCAAAATTAAAGCCGTTTCATTTTTCAGTTCCCCCACCTCCTCTCCCCAGGGAACATAAAAAAAACTTGTGGTCAGCGGCATGTGCCGCCCAGAACTTTCATTCCCGCCATTTTTAATTTTCCACCACAAGCTCCACTCTCACTTTGTTGACAAGAAAAAGTTACATTATCAGCGCCAAACTGGCTTTATAGAACGTTCAGTCGTCATGGATGGAACTCAGAAACGTAAAGGAAGCCCAGATGCAAGCAGCTCTGCAAAACGTTCTCGTAATGATGACGGAAATTCTGGAAGCCAAGGTGGAGGATTTGAAGAAGAGTTGGCAGCGCTCGATTTTGTCAATGATAAAAATCCCTCTGCCAAATGGTCAAGACCTGCTGTACCTAAACTAAATCCTTTTACTGATGACATCGTGTTTCAGCAGCTGGAAGTCGATAATTATATCGGTTTGTACACACTTGCTTTGACTTCTTTCATGTATTTTTTAGATCAATCACGAGCGCTATTTATAACTCTGTGCTGATCATTATCCACCGTTGCAAACATCGAGTAGTATTCTAGATTTTAATATGAACCGATTATCATTAAATTCAGTGCATCTTTAGTTGCAATGAATCGTGATCACATCTGAAGAAGCATTGTGGGTGTAAGACCCATGTGTGTGTGTCATAGGGAGGGGGGGTGG